ATCTAGAGGTCTGGACTGGTCTATGTTGGTCTATACTGGTCTGTATCTAGAGGTCTGGACTGGTCTATGTTTGTCAGAGTGGACATTAAATTGCCCCTTAAAAAGAAATAAACCAGACACAGACGTAAGCATTCAGTTTTAAAACAGTTTTCTCTTTGCAAAGAGTGAGAAGTTTCTGAGGACGCTTAAAAAGACAGGTCTCAGCAGAAAGTTCTGACCTCCGCTGGGATAAGCTGTACAATTTATTACAAGCAGAGCACAGAGAGAAACATCTTGACCAAATCACAGGGTTGCTNTGTACAATAAGCTGCCTTCAGGCTCAGTGCTCTTTTGCAAAAGAGAAAGGAACAAGCGTGTACAGAAAATGGATGGATGTGTGATCTCAGAGGGATTTGCCTGGTTAAATAAAGGTTAATAAATAAAAAACTTATATCTTGCAGTTTTTTAAATAACTTTTCTTTCTTCTCTTTCTCTTCAGTGTCCGTAGCAGTCCTGTGGCTCCAGCACTTTTGGATGTAAAAACTTTCTGTTAAGAGGAATGTTCCAGACAAATTTGCAAATATACACCATCTCCATGTTTATATACTGAGTTTATGGAGAAAACTAGCTTCTGACTCAAACTGAGCTTCGGTTCAGTTTCTTGCTTTACAGTATGAGGCTTGCTTGACTGATTGAACACAGCTTTGATAGACCACTTATATTCAGGTCCTGTTTTAGGTTGTTGTTTTTTTTTATTATCACTAACTCCACCTGAAATGTTTGGACTTGACTAGAGCACTGGCAAGTTTTTGTTGCTCAATCTAAAAGTCAAGCTAAAAGTTGAAACATCTTTGAATAAACCATTTCACTTYATTCCTGCTACAAAGCAGAATGATGAGTATTGTACCAAAAAGTGTCACCACTGTGTAGCTGAAAAATGTGAGGAGATACCGTAAGAAATTATTAAGTATTAATTAATATTCCATCAAATAAATAAATGTGTGAAATAAAACAAAATCAACATATTAAAATACATTTCTTTTAGTATGTCTTATTTATACAAAAACATTTAGCTTATTTATTTATTTATATTGTAGTTTTAATTTGTGACACTTTTTGTGAAGCAACTTATTTAAGGGACTCTTTTTTTAACTCCCCTTTTATTTTATTCTGTTTTATTTCATGTTTTTATATTCGAACGAGGAGGCAGAGTTTTGGTATCCTGGAAATAATTGTTTACAGAAATGAAAGTTTTATTCTGCGAAGCTTCCGGTCCTCTGGTGGTGAAACTGATCATTTCAGGAAAACCAACCCACAGAGAAAACTCTGCCCCCTCATATCAATATAAACATGAAATAAAAAGGGAGTTAAAAAAAAAGCCCCTTAAATAAGTAATGT